TCAATAAAATATTTATGTTTAATTTATCATTAAATTCATAGAAATATAATAAAAAATAATTGTACCATGATATGAGTTATTTTAATATAAAATTCAAGTGTTAATTTAGAGAAGAAATTACAAAACAAGATGTGAAACATTTATTAAAATGGGCTTTTCTTTCTCTTTTTTTACAGTATACTTTTGTGTTTAATAATGCAATTATATAAATTTTATATTTCATTTTATTCTTTTTCATACAGGTATATATTGCAGTGTTCCAGCCATTAAGAGTATCACGTCATCAGTTTAAAAGAGTATTAAATTGTATGAAAGTTATTCGACAGTTGAAGTATCAAGAAGTTTATGCCCAAGAAAAAGTGACCAAAGTTGATTCTTTATCTTTGGTACTTTCTGGAAGGTAAGTTATAAAAATATCTAACCAAACTTGAATATATTAATAGTATTAAGCATTTTTAGCTTTGATATAAATTTTTATGTATTTTTTCAGGTTAGTAGTATCGCAAAATGGAAGAGCATTGCATATTGTCTTCCCACATCAGTTCCTGGATTCTCCAGAATGGTTTGGTGTCTCCACGGATGAGTACTTTCAGGTTTATACAGCTTTTTTATAATTTTGTATATTGTCATGTGTTTAAATGTATTAACATATAATTTTACAAAACGTGATTTTAAATTAGTAAGAAAATTTATAAAATTTAAAGTAACAATGTACTTATATAGGTATCAATAACAGCTATGGAAGAATCAAGAATATTATTGTGGCATAGAGACAAGTTAAAGTTAAGCATAATTAGTGATCAATTTCTGCAGGCAGTGTTTGATCATATTTTGGGAAGGGATGTAGTAAAAAAATTGCTGCAGGTATGTGTATACCCCTTTTAAAATGTTATATGTAGTATTTACCAATTAAATGTGGTACTATCGATGCTGTAAATATCTATAGTTTGGCTTATTAAAATAAATTTTTATAATTAACTTTATTAAGTATATACAGTGTCTTATTGTATGTGGGAAATACAGCAGATGTGGTTCAGCACACTAAAATAAGAAAAAAAGTGCATATAAACATGCCCGACATGATCTTGTTTTCCAGTTATAGGTTGTCTTATATTGTAACAATCTTTTTCGTGTACAGACAAATGCAATATAATTGGATATTGGTTTACTGTTTTTCTGCAAAATTTGGGGGTCATGAGATCAGATGAATTTGTAAACAGTATCAGGTATTGTATTACGAATAGAGCAGTTAGTAAATAGATTATAGATATATTAGTAAATAGATATGTTTATTGTGAATTATTGATAATCGTAAACAAGGTCGTATCGAGCACTTTGTCTCTGCTGCACTTTCCACATATAACAAGACAACCTGTATACTATTTAGAAAGTACAAGACTTTTAATATGTGAAGAATTTATTAAATTTTTGTACATAATATAAATTTAGGTTAGTGAAACAATGGCTGCTAGCAGTCATCAACAACAAAATGGACAAGTAATTGGTTTAGGTGGTATTGGACCCTTAGAAAATGATCCTGACACCAAACTCTTCGTTGTGAAAAAGACTGGTGACAGTCAAGGTATTACTGCTCTCATCAGTCGTCAACTTCAAGGTAAGTGCTTTTTATGTAACAAATTTTTTCTTAAGTTAACAAAAAAATATTAGTATATATAATAATATTAATAATTTC